ATCTCCTCAAAAAGAACAGTAATTGAGCGACGGGGTGCGACAGAAGGATGTCCTGTTTCTTCCGAACCCAGATCGTCCATTCACGTCGTCTGTGACTCGTCAGTCTTTGCAATATACCGTACTTTGCTTTAGGCAAACTTTAATGAGCATGGGCGACCACGCGTTATAGTCTCTTCAGCTTAAATCTGCATTTTTTTCACCAGAACGTGCTACTCACAATTATGTATACCCTCATCAAATCTAGAGTGTACCTGCTCAGCTCGATGAGGTTTGTGATCTGCACAGATCATGTGTCGTTACGCACAGCGACGTCGTCACCACATCACTTACAGAAGGCAACATGGTCATCCTGCTCCGCCAAGCATACCATGCGAAAATGTGTAAGCCGAAAAAGCTCACTATGTTGGTCGGTTCTGCCTCGCGCGTCGCTCCGTCCTTGATTTCTCGCGTGTGCATCGCCGTTTGATGTGGTACTTCAAGCGAGCGAGTAGAATGCAACGTGTTCGCGTTAGTGAAAAGCTTAAAATCGTAGTTTTTAAGACTCGGATGGCGTTTTATCCAGGCACGTGGTGGCATGGCCGCCCCGCTTTAAGGTTTGCTGGAATACAACTCTGACCTCATAATACTGGATACTCATGATGAGAATGTCAGGTACAGAATATTGTTTGAGGCACAAAATACCTCTTTTGGGTGGCCACCCCATCGACAAAGTTTTTGGCTTACATGAGTAGCTTGTAGCCATTGTCTCGGGTAAAGATCCGGACTACACTGCGAGTTTCGGCAATCACTGTTCAAGGTGCAATGCACCAGACTGGACATGTCAACTGCTGACCAATCGAAAATAGATGGTCAGACGGAATGCGATAGTTGCTCGGCGGAAGCTTCCCTTCAGAGCACTTGCGGCCGCGTACAACAATCCGCATAAACTAATGCGCGGAGGTTGGGTTGTTACGCTTCACCCAGGAGCGGAACAGAGATCCTCCATTGTAGCTAGTTGTTCATCTTTTAGAAGGGAGGACATATTTACGATTTATTTGATTTAAAAATGACAACTGTAAATGCCTAAGTTCAAAATTGAGAATGTAATTTATATAATATATATATAACAACCCAGCAGACATAATGTACAATACACAATTTTTCATCAACATTCATCAACCTACATTCCTTTACAGAATGGTGGCTCGGTCGGAGCGTGATGCGGAATGGCTCAAGTTTTCGACTTTGTGCAATGAGCTGCGCAGTGTCAAGAATTCAAAAGGGGTGTCTGCAGCTGTTGAAAAGGTACAGACTTATCTAAGTGACAATCGAAGTCGCCAACTTGTACACCGATGGCGAAGTTGGGGCTATTTACTAAACTGTTTGCTCCACGTACTCAAAGAAGAAATGCGGACATATCTTAGTCTGAATGCTGGTGGTCATAAGCGTAAGATACGTCCAAGGATACCACAACTGAGGTACTGGCACTATCTACGCGCGGAGCTCGAGACGGCACATGTGGCGGCAGATGGCCCTATGTTGCACTTGGATCCTAATGGACGCGATTGCATCTACCAATTATTTATTTTTGCAGTAACCGTGATTGACCGCCAAACGACAGTTGATTCCGATCCGAATTTCGAGACACTTGTAGACAAGGAGGCGTGGCTCACAGTGGAGATTTTGGTGCAATATCGCGTCTATTGTGCTATCTTAGATGATAAAGACTGGAAAAATATGCTGCAGCTGGCGCTCGGTAGTATATCTCATAAATTCGATGAAAAATTAATTGGAGATGTCAACACGGCAGCTACGCGAGCCAGGGTGATCAATTATTTGATAAGAAATTGTCCATTTGACTTAAAAGGAGACTTATTGTTGGGAATAGTGGACGAAATTGAAAGTTGGTTTGAAGCTGCTACAAGTGAGTCTATGGAAAGAGAAGGAGATAATCTGCTGCTTGTGATTGCATCGACGATGCTGGAAACACTAACAGATTTAACAAGGATGAGTTTCGGATCGATAGGTCCGTATCTGTTAAAACGTGGACGTACAATACTGGAGTTTATTGTCGCATCAAACAAAGCGAGGAGAAACGGACTACGAGGAGCTCCAGCAGAATTTCTCATGCTATTCTTCGAATTGTACCAGCACAATGTGTGCCCAGAGTCAGAGTTATGTTATTTAACTCCTGTTTCATTACTGCGTGAGATGAAAAAACTCATTCATGTAGCATTGGGCCCAGATGAGATCAATACGCTCATGACTCATTTTAATTCAGCGAGGGAACAACGACTAGGTAATGCGCTAGGAATCGATGATCAAGGGATTCGTCATTTGGCATGCACAGCCGATATTATCTTTTATCATGACTATCTAGTGACGGATTTACTGACAACAAGTGATTCACTGATGCAAGATGATGACATGTGTGATCCTCTTATTGTTGGTAAAAAACGTTTGAGATCCACCTCAACTGTCTTAGCTTGGGAGACTGTGATTGAACAACTTTTTGACAGCTCGCGTGTAGTTACTCAGCATCTTTCAATGAGCTCAAGTTCTTCTGCTTCACAGCGCCAAACATCTACTTTATCGTATTTGACAAGAGGTTCGTCTATGTCACAGCGAACAGATGCAAAACAGAATAATGACGCAGGCTCATGGCTGCTTCTACTTCTCTCAATATTGACGCGTCACGGCGACTACTACGTACTTAATCGTATTGGAGACCTCATGTTGGTGATGCAGAAGCTTACCGATATCCTTACCGCGAAAGAAATGGGCAAACTGCAAACGCTAACGCTGCAGGTATTAATACAACTGGCTGCTCTTTCTGCTCGACATCGCAACGTGTATCTTCGTGATCTGAACGAGTACTGGGCAACAATTTGGCATACGTTGTTACGCACTGAGCTTCCCTATATTCGCATTACCGAAGGAGTCGGACTGGCGCGAGGTCAAGCAGGTGACACTGTACTTACGCTGCTAAATTGCTGCATTTCTTTTGGATTAATTTCCGAGAGCATGATTGAAGCCAAAAGTATGGAATTGTGGAATCTTCCAGCCTTCCGACAGCCGAGCGCAGACACCCCAGTCTCTCGTGGAGATCCTATGATGGCTGATGCGAGAACCTCGATAGCCTCCATGTGCACTTTGCTGTGCCTTCTTCGCCACGTGCAAGTACCTCCTAACATACCCACAGCAGGACTACAAGGAACCACCTCGTCCTTGCTTGGCGAGAATCTTTCAGAGGAGCATGATATGAAACTTCTTCAATCTTTATTTGACCATCTTCGTGATCAGGTGCTGTGGAGAAAAGCAGCGATGGAAGGAAACCCTACAAATTCATATACTAAAGGAGACTGGCAAACTGCAATATCTCCATTGGTCTATGCATCTGTAATTCAAGTATTACTAAGATCAAAAAAATTTCTAACTGACACACGCGATACTATTTTTGCACCAGAGTTGATTCGCAAGCTATCAGCAAATCATGTCAAGCAATGTGAAAGCGTTGCTAATGGAGAAGAACTAAATGGATTTGGCATTGCCTTTTGTATGCTGGAAACTGGACTCGATCATCTTTCAATGGCATTTCCGGACACAACAGGAGTCAGGCCTCACGCTCATTCATTACTACTTCAAGCATTTTTGGGTAGAAATTCTGAGAATAACGATCTAAGCTGGTACAATGGGATTAAATTATGTGCAATTAAAGCTGATGATCAATTCGAGAGACTTGCTGTGCCACCTACTCTCATGAATAAGCTGATTCCGTCCCAGCATACATTTCACCTTTCTCATGACTGCTTCTGCAAGGATCAAATTTCTCAGTCCATTGCAATTGGACGACTTGCACGACTCCAAAAAAATATTTCTTACTGGTTTTCTCATCTGCTTTCAGAGATATCAAGCACATTGCCTTCAGATGGATGCAATCAAACTAAAGGTTTGCGCATGCTGGCGAATTTATTTGACGTACGTCTTCGCGATATAGGTGGATTGTGGCACACTTCTGGATCTAAATTTGTGTTGGCTTGTCGATGACAGGTTGGTCTTGTTCTTGCGGCATTGTACGCATCAGAAGATTCAGAGTCAGCAAAAAACCATCAGGAAAACAACAACCGCCTTCGCGTGCTTCCGCTGCTAAAACATTTTTTCACCATCGTTGCGGATCACTTGAAGCCAAGCTTAATAAGGCAAGCTCAGCAAAGTCAGTCAATGTCGAAGAGCGTATTGCGAACCTTGAGAAGGTTGCACACACTAATCATCATCTTGCAAGGAAGAGACACAATTAAGAAATGCTGTCACCCTTCAGCATATCCAATCGAGTTGCGCTTTCCACCAGATCTTCGCCTGTCCATAAGAGCTATCGTCAGTACTTTAGAGGAATCTCTTGAGATACTAAGTGGAGGAGCTGAGATGTCTCATGACACAACGATACCTGTGGTTTCCCGCCAGCAAACTGGTTTCAGATCGCGTGGTGGTACGTCTGGCCGGCCCTCGTCGTCGCAGAATACAGGTCAACCTATACAAAAAGATTGGGATGTCATGGATGAGGGGTATGTTTCTTGAGTCAATTTTACCTCATTGATTTATTTGACAATGTAATATGGTGTTGTTGTATTTTGTACCAGAGAGGACAATGACATATTGCGTGACCATCCTCCCAGTAATGTACTTCGAAAGAGTATTGGATTATGGTGTTTTCGGTTGATTTTGCTGTTGAAAAAAGATAGCGGACTTCCGTCAGTTAAAAAACATGTGGTAGCGATTAAATTTGATCCGGATTTTGTGCTGGCAGTGGCAGTTCTTCTCTGTGGTGTGGTTGGACCGGACAGTCAAGAAGCATTTGTCACATTGATTGATTATGCAGCAGACGAAGGCATGCGCGAAAACGGCACAATGTCAACTTCACGAAAAGGAGGTCCACGAGCAGCTATTTTTCTCTCTCAAGTATTGTCTGCTCTATTTCTCGCAGGGCTGATGCATGAAAAGCGACACAATCAGCACAGCGAGCGACACAATCAGCACAGCGAGCGACACAATCAGCACAGCGAGCGACCCCCTGGCATTCTAGTGGATTGCGCTAAAAGGCATTTAAAGTCGATGGCTAACTGTAGAATGAAGCAAAGCTTGCGAGTGGCACGTATGGCCGAATTGCAGTGTCTCGAGGTTTATTTTCGCCTTCACTCACACGAATTTATTGCTTTCGAGGAAGCGTGTATTTGTGGACTGACCGACTGCGACACAAGTGTGCGATTTGTCGCGGCCCGCGGCCTTCAAACGATATACTATATGTATCCACAAGGCGGTGAAGGAATATTTCAGCACTTTTTCAGTGCTCAAAAATCGTCATTAGATGAGCTCAAGTCACGACAGGTTGCAGTGACTAATAAAGACGAATATTTGAATGATGGTGATAATTTCAGATTTTCAAGACAGAAAATGGTTGATACTCGGCTTTGTGTGGACATGTGCTTATCAGTGTTACTCAGTTTGTATGTAAGTGCTTGCTCAACCCAGACAGCACTTGTAGAAGTTTTGATCGCTTGCGTTCAGATCGCTACAGTAAAAACGTCGTTGTACTGTGCTGGTACGCCTTCGCTGATATCACGGTTGCTGCAAGCAATCGCAGAATTTTATGCGTATGCAAACGTGTCCAGCTTGCTAGATGATCATTTTTGCGCACTGTGGCACCACTTTATAGCTGCAAGTAATCGGCCATTACTAATAGAATCTGAAGATAGAATAGAATGGATATTTAATTCTCCATCTGCTCCTCTTCCAAACGGAAAAGCGTTAATCCAGCAGTTTCCACTGTCAACTCTTCTTGGAGAGGACCTTAGCAAAAGTGCCCGGCGATCTCACTTTATGGAGAAAATGGATATAATTGTTTCTATTGGGGTTTTTCACTGCTTTATATCGAAAGATAACAATGGGAATAGAGGAAGCCAATTTGAATTTGTGGATGAGCTACTTTCGTACTTCTTGCAGGGCTACCAACTGAGCGAACAACAATCCGACAAAGTTATGTCAAATTGTGGAGTCCAGCTAACCACAGACCTGCTTGCGTTCTCGTTGATTTTGTCAGCTCATCGAAATCCAAAACTGAATCAAGTGGCACATCAGATGACTGAAGTTGTAAAGGAAAGAGTACCGCTGGAGCATCTCGAACATGCTGTTGTAAGCAAAATGACAAAATTTGTCATCTGGGACATCGTCCGGATACATGATGACCAGCTTGTGACTCAAAGCGATCAATGGTGGAATGCATTAAAAAGCTTTAAAGAAAATAACCCGAACTTTGATTGGAAGCTGGTCAATATGGCTGAAATGCTCTGCGAATTCCATGTCCTTTTATTGCGAGCACAGTCATTCGATCCAAGAGCAGAGTATGCCGTAAATTGCTTTAACAATTTCGTCTTGGAGACTCGTGTTGCTGTAGCAAACGATGCGATATTACAACGCTTACTGCTTTTGATATGCTTTCAGTCAATAAAAAACTTGGCTGTTCGGAATCGGCCGAGAATAGGAGGGATTTTATGTCGTCTTGTTCGTGACAGTTGCGAGCTTTACATGAAAAGTGCAGATTTATTCGGAAAAAATCTTTCTTTTGTGGTACAGGAAATTAGCGAAATATTATTTCAGTGCAATGTTACTTCTCAACGAGTTTTACATTTGAAAGTTGATGACCAAGCCGAATTGGAGAAAGTTATTTTTGCTGTGTGCAATGACTTGGCACGCGGTCTTGGCAAGTATGCCATTGAAATTGATTTGGTGCCGGATGGGATTGCAACAAGTCTTGATAAGTTGAACGCGACACTTATCAGCCATAGAGTCAATTTATCTGAGCTCTGTCAAATGGAGAAAGAATCTGTAGGCAACATAGTACTAAACACAGATGATCTAGCGAAACTGCAATTAGGGGAGTTCATTAAAAAAGAACGATCACGTGGAGTCAGGTTTTACAGCCCACTGGTTTTTTGTGTTACGCCATGTATAAATTCAACAAAATTGTTGAGTCGAAATCAAAATCAAACGAGCTCATTTCCAGATGTCCGCTTTTCAGCTGTCAGAACGAGTATTGGTTTGGTGCGAGATACGACAGGCTTGACTAAAAAGCTATTTGGAGAGCTTGCCTTTTCTCTCTTGCATCTTAGTTCATCCGAAACATTTGGAAGGTACGACGGCAATCGCGACTTATGCGCAAGCTTGTCAAATGTTCTAGGCGAGCTTGGAGCGCTGGATGCTTGTGAGTACGAGCTAAGCCCGTCCGAACAGGAGGCAGGTTTGTCCTGTTTGTATCAAAGGCACTTTCGTCGAGGTTCTCTCTGCGAGGTAAAAACGAATTACCTTCAAGTGATGTATGAAAGTGTGCTTGCGACTTTGAGCTCGCTGTTTTTTGAAGGAGCAAAACATAAAAGTATTTACCCGTCAGTTCTTGAAAAAACTTTAAAAACTGTAAAGGACGTGCTTAGTGTTGATGAAGGCGTGACAGCCCTAGCTCGGAGCAAGGATAAAGAGCTGAAGACGTTTTTGGAACAGTTCCAATGCTCACCACATTCGACTTGGTCGTCAGCTACTCTGCCTGATGGTGAGAAATGTGATTTTGAATTTAATCTCACATATCGAGAATTCCTGGAGCTTTGGACATCTGTTGGAGAGTTAAATTTTGATACATGGATTTGCTCTCTAACGTCCTGCTTAGCCAGAGTTTCATCAGATCCGATATTGAAAGCATGCTCTCAATTATGTGCAATGCGGGCTGACATGGCGATTTTTCTCTTTCCTTACGCACTTGATAACATTCTCAGAACAACTGGTGATCAAAAGAAAATCGAGTTGATTAAAGCGGCCGATGTTTCTGAGAAAAATGCAACTCTTTGGATGTCAAAAGCTGCTAGTGAAGGTATTAGATTAATATTGTTAGAGCTAGCAAACTTTGGCATGACATCAGTTGGAAATTCTCACTCAATATCAGGTGTTTCTCGACGGCTTCAGGCTGTGCAGCTTATTATTCATGGTATCAATTTTTTACGGGAGACGGAAAAAGCTCGATTTGTGGATAGTAATGGCAAATGTCATCACGTATCTACGAATAAAGGAAAAGGAACGAAGCGCTTATTTTCTGATGCATCGTCTTCTAAAATGAAACCACCTGAAAATAATCTGGCGTATGGCTATTTGGTCGACGTCGATCCTTTTATTGTTGCAAAGGCAGCTGTCTTGGTCCAAATGCCGTATTCAGCAATGCAATACGTAGAGATGTGGCTTGAAATGAATTTAGGTGGAAGAATTAAATCACTTTCTTCGTTGGATAATGAAGAAATGGTTAACAAACTTCGTGGCATTCTTGTTAAGGCCTATTCTTTCGATAGTGATAGTGACGGAATCTACGGTGTAAATGATGGTCGTACAATGAAATCACAATTGGTTAAATACGATCGCGAGGGGGAGTATGCGAAGGCCTTGCCACTATATGATGTCTCATTGCAGTTCTTAAATCACCAGCAGCAAATCAATGAAGAAACAATGAAAACTGATTCAAGTCTACTTTTTGAAGGCATTCTCGCATCTTTGCATTCACTCGGATACAATCATTTGCTCGAAGGCTACCTGCAATCTTTGCAACGTCTTGATCTCGTAAAAGACCATGGATCCACTTCTGCTCACACTTTGGAACACATGTATAAACGTGCCTGGGTGAGTATGCAATGGGATGCTGCACTACCTCGGCTTTCGGAACCCGTAATTTCTTGGAATGATCAAAGTTGTGAGAAAGCAACGCCAGCAAGATTTTCTCAACAGCAAACAATTTATGAAAGCTTGCGATCAATAGCCCACAGAGATTTTCCGCACTTACAACATGTAATGACCAACGCAAAAACGAACATTTTACGGTCTATTCAATTGAGTTTGCTTTCTTTCGAGAGTACTAAAGAGTCATTCTCGGCTTTGGCGCATTTACAAGCTATTCGAGAGATTGAAGAGTTGGCAAATTTAATCCAAGATTCATGCCCAACTCAAAAAGAAAGCAATTCCTTGACGCAAGCTACACTAGGATTGTCATCGCAGCTGAATGCATTTGTCGATCCTCAAAAAGAAGAACTAACAGCGATGCCTTTGCACGAGCGATGGCAACGACGACGTGGACGAATCAGAGGCGACTTTATCACGACAGAAAGTCTGTTAGCCCTTGAAGAGATCCTTATCCAAGTTTCTGAGCCATCGGACGGTGATCAGGTGACTGCAAGATTGTTTTTAGACCTTGCGGCGTTGAGTCGGAAGGCCGGGCGAATAGCAGTAGCCTACCGAGCCTTGTATAGACTTGACCAACTTCATCAGCGTGGATCACTGAGTACATTTGAGACAGTGTCGTGGCGTATACAGAAGGCAAAACTTTTGTGGACCCAGCAAGAGCCCCGCAGTGCAATATGGAGTGGTAAAAAGTTATCCTCCGAGTTGACGATGCATATTCAGAAGCAATCTTTATCTGCCACAGACACGGCAGCGTTAAAACTGCTGCACGTTAAGGTGCTGACGATGACTGGTAGATGGATTTCATGTCAGCGCTCTGAAAGCTCACAAGTTGTTCTAGAAGATTTCTTCCAAAAGGCCACGAGTATCATCAGTAGTATGGATGCAAACGCACTGTCTAGTCGACCTATAGATGCTGCGAAGGCACATTTTTCCTTAGCTAGCTTCATGTCGGCGATGTATCAGCAAGTAAGCTCTCGGGTAAATTCTCGAGAATGGCTAGCAGGGAAGAAAGTGGTACAAGCCAGACATGACGAATTACGAGAACTGCAGACGATGGAGCAAAGCATGCAAAACGAAAATCGAGCACATATTCACACGTTAAACAGAGAAGTTGTTTACGACATGAATGAGCGCTCAAAAGTGGAAGCATCAGTAGATCAGTTTCTGATCGGTGCTCTCTATAGCTATGGTAAAGGGCTGAGTCTATCCCCAGAAGCTGAGCTGGATACGGTTTTTCGTGTACTGTCGTTATGGCTAAATAATCAGCGTAAAGCGGATATCAATCGAGTGTTCATCGAGGAATTAATCGACTTGGTCCCCTCGTACAAGTTTGTGCCTCTCTCCTATCAAATTATTTCGCGTATTAGCAGTTCGAGTGATGTTGGTACTTTTCAAATAGCTTTACGGAAACTTGTGATGAAGCTGAGCTTACAACATCCACATCATACGTTAGTTCAGCTAATTGCTCTGAAAAACAGTGGAGATGTGGAAGGCAAAGGCGCGCTGCAATTTCGAACAAACGTTGGAGATGCAAAGGCTGAAGGCGCAAAAATATACCTGACTGAGTTGTTGAAGACAGAGCAACGCGAGCTACTTGAAAACCTCGATAACATCACAAACGCCTACATTCAACTAGCGCTGTTTGACACAAGCGAATACCACAACCAAAAAAAAAAGATTCCGCTTTCAAAAGTGCCCATTTTCGAGACAAACTCAGGGAGGTCTGGAACAACATCGTTTGATCAGTGTCTTCGAACTCATGCAAGACGTGGCGAATCTGTTGTGATGCCGGCGGTACTAACATCCAACATTGAACCGCAAGGAGATATGGACTACTCGAATATCGCACGCATGTATTCATTCGAGCCTCAATTTTCCATCACCGATAGTGGCATTCATCGTCCCAAAATCATTTTTTGCTACGGCTCCGATGGCAAGCGGTACAAACAGTTGGTAAAGGGTCACGATGACACTCGACAAGATCTTGTGATTGAGCAAGTCTTCGACACCATGAATCAGTTTTTGACGAAGGAGAAAACGACTCGCAATCGTAGACTGCGGCTGCGTACATACCGAGTTATCCCGCTCTCTCCTATTGCAGGTGTGCTTGAATGGGTGGAAAATACTGTGCCTTGGGGCTCTTATCTTGTCGGACGAACACCTAAGAACTTGTCTGCTCATGAGCGGTACCATCCACATGAATGGAAACACAATGAATGCCGTCAACACCTGAAAAACGCTCCAGATAAATTAGCAGCATTTCTGGAAATTGAGAAAAATTTTACTCCCGTTTTTCATCACTTTTTTCTCGAAAAGTTTCCCGATGCATCGGTATGGTATCGCCGACGATTAGCTTATGTCCAGAGTGCAGCAGTCACGTCGATTATTGGTTATATATTGGGCATAGGAGATCGTCATTCACAAAATATTCTCGTTCATGAAGAAACAGGAGAACTCGTGCACATTGACTTTGGCGTTGTGTTTGATCAGGGTATGGCTTTGTTTACACCCGAGACCGTTCCATTTCGACTCACTCGCGACATGGTGGACGGCATGGGAATTTCTGGTGTAGATGGTGTATATTCGCGTTGTTGTGAAGTAACACTCCAACTTTTGCGTAAAAAATCCGCTTCAGTTGTCACCATTCTTGAGGTCTTCGTGCACGATCCACTCTATCGCTGGACATTGTCGCCATTAAAAGCTCTTCGTATCCAGGGAGAACAAAATACGAAGTCGATGCACACGAGGAGCTCAGGTAAATTTGATGGAGTGGACAGCATGGAGAATACTCAAGCTCATGCTGAGCCTGGAAGTCTGGATGCTGCGGCTCGAGCTTTGATTCGTGTGAAACAAAAACTTGAGGGCTATGAAGATCCAAATGGCAGTGCATTAAGCATCGAAGGCCAAGTGAAACAACTTATAAGTATCGCTCAGGATCCACAGAATCTTTGCAAGCTCTTTCCAGGGTGGGCTCCTTGGTTGTAGCAAACTACATGAAAATAAATTTGTTACGAAATGTAAGATATCCCTTGGTGGATATCGAAGAAAGCATCGATTGTTACGGGTGAATCCTAAGTGACAAACTACGTATTAACGACATTTTTGGTGTCGGCGATTTCGATGAACCAAGAATGCTTTTAATGTGAAATTGTTCGAAAAGAAAATTTAAGCTACGAATTGCAATTTTTTAATATATGTGACTAACTGCAAGATAACATGATTTCACATTTTGATACTGGTCAAACTCACAATTTTTCGTCAAACCATCTGCTAAGAAACAGCTACCGTACTTCACAAAATAAAAGCCACTCAAAAAGATCACTTTTTTCTGATTTTCGT